GTTTGATATTAACGACACATGAATAAACATTAAAACTGCATGTCACAATGTTTCTGCGGCTGCGGCAGAGATTATTAAACTCTTTTCCTCTGAGGTTTTTATAAACTGACCTGATGGATTCTGTCTCATTTCATTCACTTCTATTTTAAACAAGCTGATTTAAATTGAAGTTTAATTATTTAAACTTTTTCACATGTTTTAAAATAAATCTGAAAATCTACATTAAAGCCAGAACTGACTTTGAAAGTGTGATGAAACGCTGCTTACACATGAATGCATGAGTGATAATAAAGCTTTAAAATACTTTATAGACACTATGAGTACATTTTGCTGATAATACTTTCGTACTTTTATATACTACTTGCTTGAAACGTAGTACTGAAGTGAAGGACGTGAATATTTCTTCCACTATTGCTACTCTCCTGTTCAGCATCTGTTCGACCCTCCGCTGCGAACTCCCTTTAAAAAACTCTGAATTTAAGGAGATTTCTTTCCTACAGTTGGTGTGAGTCCGGCTGTAGATTCAACCTAAACACCGAGACTTTCCTGTAAACCAGCAGCTCTGTGCATAAAATATCTGCCGATTAAACAAGACTCTGTTCAGAACGCCGCTCAGTTAATGGATGATAGTTAGAAGTAGTTTGTTTGTAGGTAAGAAGTAATAAACACAGACGAACATAGAAGAATTGTCAGTTAGCCGCTAACATTAGCTTAACTTACTATGATTTAAGCTCCAGTAAAGCAGAAACAAATAAAATACGTCAATTTCCCTGATAAATGATGAACTTTAAGGTTTAAAATGAAAAATATAAAATAAATAAGTAGGGTCAGTTTCTGCTGTAGAACAAAATATTACGTACATCGTGGATGTTAGCCGTAGCCGTTAGTGCTGCAACAAACAAACCTTTCAGTTCAACGTTGCTTCAGGACCCCTCAGGTCAGAGCTGTCTCTACTTGTGCCTGTCTGTAAAACAATTAAGGAAACTGTGATCAACTGCGACTCTGTGTTTGACTTCGTGTGTAACGCTTTATTTATTATTAATAAAATAATATATCTCTGTAACGTGCTTTAATAACATGTACAGTCTTTGTATCGGCTCCGTAACTGACATGGCGCCGGTGGGCAGCCTCCTCTGCAGTGTGCGTGTGATCGGTTCCCCTGAGTCTGGTCTTGCAGGTGCATCAGAATAAATATAAACCTATGTTGGTGCATCTGTGAACCATAATTCAGTCTTGTGCTGTCAGGAATCACAACCCAGGAGGATTAAATTTTAACTAAATTGATTTATAAAGCGTCCTTGTGCTGAACAGTGGTGGGGACAGGGCTCCAATTAAGTGGGGGTGATCCACGATATTGGTTTCTTCATGAGAAGATATTCTA